TCTAATAAATGTCTCAACACCCTCGCCAGGCTTCTGTATCCGTTGATGGAATCGAACACGCTCGTGAATGACATTGCGTTTTGGCACAAAATGTTCATCAAACTTCTCCAAGACTTTGTTATATTTTCCCGCATCACCCTCTTGAAATGTGAAGGAGTTGAATATGTGCTCAGCCTCCTTGCCCATGGCATAGATAAGGCTGTTTATCTGAACATCCTCTGTTTCCTTGTTGAGTTTAGTGGCAGTGCGATACCGCGCGAATCTCTGTCGCCACGCCGGCCACTCGCCCGGCTGAGCGAGGTCGAAGTTCTCTGGAGGGTTAAACTTGGCCATAATTGCTTACTTGTTTACTTCTGACACCATGTGATAACATGAGAGGCTTCCAATTCATTCGGTTTATTCGTCATAGTTCCCTTTGGGCAGGTACACACTGACCAGGACAATCTGGCGACTCATAATGTAGCAGGGCGTGGAGTCATCCCACAGATGACATCCTTACCTTGTCAGCTTGCTCACGGGGTTAACCTCTTTGGTCATGTGGACAAGGCGTCCGACTTCTAATCAGAAGGTCCGAGGTTCGAATCCCAGCACGGGACTCGGAAATTTTATGGCCGCTACAATAACATGGCGGGCGTCAAACACATGTGCTCAGGGAGCCTTCATTGTATGCGATATTACACGAGATTAGGGAGTGGCTTATTATTTAAGTTGTATCATGACATATACTTTACACTCATAGCTTTGTGTAATAACTTGTGTAATCAATTGTTAAACCTCTTAGCCTTACAATGCATTGACACAAGTCACGTATAACATGTCTAAAAGAATCATTGTTTCAATTATTTAATTTACAGATCATTAAGTAGTCTCACACTTTGATCATTACGTAATCCCCTTAAAGAATTAAGATGTTTTGCTAGCCTGATTGGAGCCCTTTATACTCATGTTTTGATAGAACATACTTTTTAATGAGTTTGAGATCATCCTGTTTATTTTAAATGAGTTTGAGATCATCTACTTAAGATAAAGGCTTCTATAGTATATATATAGTTTGTGTCAAAAATGCAACTTCACCATACATCATGGAAGTGATACGGAACAACAAGGGTGGTTCGAAGTTGCTATATCAGGATTATTCGTACATAAAGAAGAAAGAGAGCAAGTCAACAATTAGGTGGGAGTGTTCCCAACGGAATCCGCTGTCTTGCAAGGGTTTCATTGACCACAGACATGGAAGTGAAGAATAAAGAACTGACAACCGACCACTGCCAGACCCCAGCGCTACCGTGGCCCTCAAGTTGCGGTCAGAAATGAAGCAGAAGGCCAGTACATCCCGAGAGACACCAAACCGGGTTCTTCCTCTAAGAAAAGAACCAGAACAACCACCAAACGTCTCCAAGAACGCCTTGAAGGTCTGTGCAAGACCTACGCAGCGAAGGAAAAGACACTCGAGGACTTTCTCCACGGGTCGGCCGTTGTTTGCGTTGTTGAAATGTGGCAAGATGTTTAGTCATAGATATGTCTGAATGTGTGAAAATATATGCTGTTGTCATATTTATATATGTATTAATGCATGAATGATTCATAAATGTGAAATGTAAAAAAGTGCATTGTCATATTTATATATGCAAAAATGGGCTTACATATGTATTTGGGTTGTTTTTGTTATCGATTATGAATGACTGATATGAATAAAATTCATTTCTGTGACTTAACATGTCTTTAGTTTTTTTTTCTTAGGGTGGAATTTATCAGGGGTGGATTTTGTCCGGGTGGATTTTGTCCTAGGTTGCAATTTTGGGGTGGATTTTGTCCGGGTGGATTTTGTCCTGGATTCACGTATTGTGGATCCACTGACTTTGACAAGAGGCTTGGCTTGGTAATCATTTATAGTTACACCATACCATGCTCCTAATTTCATTAAAGAAAATCTTAAAACAATATTTTTTATTCATAAGCATTTGTCAAAAACAAGTAAACACTAAATCTTTGTGAAAAATATAATCACTCAAAATGTTAAAGTGCGTGGATTCCAGTGTAATTATAAGTTGATATGTTTTTCAGTTCCAAGAAAAAGACCCAGTTTTCTGTTTGTTTCAAGGAAACAAGGAATCCGTCTGGAATGGATGGCAGTTTCTCATCACGTTAGTCGTCAAAGATACTTCACTTCATAGGTTTCATTTAACGACTTCAGTTTGATCTGTCCCTTTGCTATCCATCATATATCAATAATGAATATATTTAATTATTGTATATCAGATATGTAACTGTAACTGAAAGGGAATAAGTTGTATTACACATTTTACAGTTTTTAAATTAAAGAAAAGGTAATATTAAAAAATAATATTTTATGTTATTATAATGCTGTGAATGTTTCCTTAGAGGGTTGATAAAACTATGAAATACCCACGATTTTTCATTCATGGGAAATATTAGGTTTTGTATGCTTTTCTCAGTTGAGTTGGTCATTTCAATTTGAAATGAATAAGATCACATATATAATCAGGTGTTACATTCAGTGTTTAAACATTATCCTATCTATTTAAAATATGTATGTACCGTTTTACCTATGCTTAGATTTCAGTTGGCGATTTGGTAGTAGATGTTACCTTGAATATGAGTACAGTAACAGTAATTATTATTACCACAATTTGCATCAGAATACTGGGTTGGCTACTTTTGCTGGTATCAATCAAATAAGTGCCATGTCCAATGGAAGATACAATATGCATGTATACTACAGATCTTCCCTTTGTGATTGTGAAAAAAATCTTTTGGTTACATCTTCTAATTAGTCGTTCTAATTTTATAATTTCATTGTGATCAGATGTACCACTGTGCATGTTTTTGAATATGTATACATGTGTTATTATGGCTGTTTTTGTATTTTTACTAAGCATTGTATGTATTGTATTTACAGGATGATGCAGAGTCTGTGTGGGACGATGAGGATGGCAACGATGTTTTGCCAGACATCAACCAGGACTCTTCATATTCACCCACAGATCTTAAGTAGAGCATACACAATCTGTTTGCGGTTGTGGACTTGTTCAAGCCTTGTTGTAATCAACTTGGTTATATTTCCCCTTCCTCTGTGTGGCAAAACAAATGTCTCAACTCAGGCTTTGCTTCATATGTACCAGATCAAAAGATTGCTGTCAGCAAGTTGCCAAGTCTTTACTATGTGAGATTGTTAGTGTGTATATGTTAAGATACATTGAGGCAGCTTCAAATGTAAACTTCATGTATATGGGCCCATGACCTTTCATACAAACAACATTTCAATTTGAAATCTGTTTAATAAATACCACAGCAAGTATGTTATGCCTACACTAGTAGACCTCATTTCATCATATGCATAAAATGTTGTAGGGTTTTGACATATTGATTATTTGCATATTCATACAGAAGTTGTGTTCTCAAATGCTGAAGATTCCCTCTTAATGTGGCTTCTCACATACATACATGCATGCATGCATGCATCCATCCATCCATCCATCCATCCATTCATTCATTCATTCATCCATCCATCCATCCATCCATCCATCCATCCATCCATCCATCCATCCATCCATCCATCCATTGTTGAGTTCTATTGAAATGTGAGCTATTCAAAATAATGAAACAGATGAATCATAACAGTGACTGTTACTGTGTTTGTTGTTTTTTCGCGTAAAATGTAATAAATGGTACATTCACAAGTTATGCACAATGGTAGTGAGTGAGCTACAAAGTCACATTGGCAGCCATATCGTGACTATGGAAGTCGTAAATTTAAATTTGTAAATGTGTACATGAAATAAAAACAAACTTACCTGTCTTCGAAGGACAGTAAAATAACTAGTCTATCACAAATGTACACTAAAAACTAGCACCTAACCATAAACACTTTAACGGTACAGTATAAAAATGGGCTATAGATTGCCAACACCTGAAGGTTGATCAACATACTAGGGACCACGGGAACGTACAGTACATTTGCTTCTTGCATGGACCCTAGCTGGATTCTGTATATAGAAATTATCTTTCAAATGAAACAGTAAGTAAATATAGTCCCCCAATGGATCAGCACAAAGCTAAGTTTGCCATTTCATCTAAGCTGAAACCTAGCGGAAACCTACATTACCCAGTATCCAATAGGTTTCCGCAATAGCGGAAACTAAGTCATTTTGCTATGAATGTTTCAGCGAACTGAAACTAAATGGAAACGCATAATGATGGTTTCAGTTGTAGAAACTTGACGGAAACCTAGATTTGTTAGTTTCAGTTTTGTAAACTATGCGGAAACTCGCATTGTCTGTTTCCGGATACTGAAACCTAGCGGAAACCTACATTACCCAGTATCCATTAGGTTTCCGCAAGAACGGGCCCGTTTGCAAGCGAATAACATTTCAATGTACCCCGCTGTCAATGGCAACTCATTTGGTACTTCGTGGTAGTATTTCTTTATCTCGAATTACATTGAATCACGTAATGATGTACGGAAATTACCGATGTGTTGCGCATGCAAATCAATGGAAGGGAGATAACTCTAAATGTGTTTTTCTTGTCAGCAAAATCTAGCGATGGCTACAAAACGATTTGTTCCCGTGCTTCAAACATATCAAAATTAACATTAAGGTGTTCGGTAAGATAAATACCTTGTTTACTGGTCCCTCGGGTCACATGGGTTGATGTACCCTCGATGTTTGCTGATATACCAGGGTAAATAACAGGTCATCTGGCATTCAAATGCAATGCCAATTGGATCCTGCTTTAGCTATGGGGAGCAACTCTGTACAGCAGCACCCCTAGATGATTGCACCATCCCTACTTAACTAGCAATACAATAAAAGTTGTTCACTGGTCACAAGGGGGGCGGGGGTTGATGTTCCTTCGGGCTCAGGGAACATGAACAAACATCGAGGGTACATCAACCCATGCCCCTCTCGTGACCAGTGAACAACTTATATTGTGGTGTTTATAAGCATCATTATCAACATTTAAAGTGTTCGGATTACTTACCACATAACGAGGTGCACAATGCACATAGTGATCTCATTCAGTTCCACAAGAAACTTGAAGACAACCCGACCTTTAGGTCCTAGTTTACCAAGCACTGCTCCAAATACTGTACAATATAGCAACATCCCTGTAGAACAAGAAAACGTCCATTACAGATGTTAGATGCTCACGCTATAGTCGAACGCTACAATGGAACGATGGACTCTGCATTTAAAACATATTTGTATGATTATGGAAAAGGTTGTGACGTTTTATATTATTCTGTCGATTCTGACGAAAGAATGTTAAAAACAATTGGTACTTTGCCGTAGGACTTTTACATACAATCGTTTTTCTAATGTACACCCATGTGATTGACGTGATATGTTTTACTGGCAACCAAATCTCCTGGTTAGCAATACTAATATTTTGTGGCGAGTAATTGTCAGAGAACCTAATAATCAACCAGTAAATTATAATGATTCCTATGTTGTTCATGCTGCTAAGTTGGATTTCACTTCCAAAGTTCAGTTCTACATTCAGACACTGTTTAAAGTCAGGGCATCGAATCCCTTTCATCAACATAATTTCTTAACCAGTCTTAGTCAAAACAATGACAAACAACATTTTTGAAAAAGCACACCACACAAGCTAAGCAAAGCAAATCAAAGCAAGACAAAACACGTCAACACCAGAAAATAGTCCTTCTCCGTAATCTGCCGAAAGATATTGTAATGGACCGGAAGGGTATACTAGTAAACCAGCGTGAAAACATATTAATGGATCCCCGAAAATTAAGGACACCAGGTGTTTGCAAAATATTAAATGATGATGCAGTACAAATATTTAGACGACAGAAAATGGTGTCTTTGGTTGTTTCTTTTCTAAGCTACACATCTTATTTGAACAACTTATGAAGAGCAGTCTGTGTTACCAATTATCCCAGCCTTCACATACCCAGAACATTAAATCCGGGTCTGTTGACAGTTTTAGGTGTCCAGGTGGGTTTCCTATCCTCTGTAATATTTCTCCCATCAGATTCTACCTGAAATGTTGAGTTGGTTACATTCTGGAGCACATATTCATCAGGAGATTCTTTCTTGATATTGTTGAAATCTTCCTTGACGTAAACCGTGTGTGAACTTTGAATTGCAGCCCTAACAATATTGTCTGGAAACAGATTTCTGCAAAAGAAATAACAAATCATCACAGGGAATTACGACATCTCTATGACAGACATCAGCCCAACATCTTCAGTAACATTTGCATCTGCCAGTTCTTAATTCGCAAGTGGTGAGGCAATAAGCTAGTGAGGCTAGGCGGCGTGTAACAAAGGTATTATGCCTTGTTTGCAGTCTATAAACTAAGCAAGTGAAGCTACATATAGCTTTAAGTGACTCTTGGAGTAAATATTCCCTTTTCACTGCCTTAATCATAATCTGAATGGGGCATAACGTATTCGAAAACATATGACAACCTATGCTTCATTGTGACTATGATTAAGGTTGTATTGTAAGACTTCACAGATTCAAGTTAAGACACCTGTTTTTCTGAGTGTAAAATATATTTAATAACAACTTTCCATAGATACGAACTATCAAAATACATCAACAATATCTACTCGATCTTCAACTTGAAAATGGACACTAAACCTTCTTTTAACGATACATGAACATGCTTAGTTGTCTAAGTTTATTTAATAATTGCAGTCACTAGCTAGCATAACATATTTTATACTCTAGACATGAGTCCAAATAGGTATGGGGTATATTCCGGCAGGTAAATGACATTTGAGAAAACACGTCCGAATGGGATAATGTCTGGATTCCGAGTCAAAAACAGCTTATAGCAAGAATGTGTATGCGTACACTTTTACAAGAGTATTTTACGCCGCAATCATTGTAAAAGGTATTACGCACTGATCAGAAAGGCTTATTGGTATCCTACCACCAAATATACACACCTCTCACACCCTTCCCCGAATCTTATTTAGTTTACTAGGGTTTGAAATATGAATATTTCCTTAGGTGTGGAAACATTTGTAAATTTTGAAATAGACACTCTGATGATCATTGTGTGGCTTCATAATGGGAACAGTGCAGTTGACGACAGCCGACCTTGTAGTGTACGTCTGGGCGAGGTCTGTCAATATTTTAGAACTGAGGTTGTATTGTGGACCTTCGTCAGCTGATCAAGATAGTGATTCACGTGAGCCAATTCCATGATGCGCAAACAATTGACAATTCATCAACTCTCTGCTTGACTGACAAAGTATTCATGCGACATACTGAAATCGGGAAATCAAGAACAGTTGGCGTGGTGGTATCAATATGTATACAATTTCAAGATTTTCCGTACAAAATCTAATTCTAATGCATCTAACTCGTCTGCCAACGTTCATACCAACGTTTGTGCCTGTATTGAATGGCTGATCGTGATTATATGTAACTTGACACTTCCTCTGTGAGGTACAACATCTGCAGAGACCAGGTGATATTGGCGATATATATTGTGTTGTCTACAATAGCAGTTGGAATGAGACTGACTATCCATATATTCATTCACCATTCTCACAGGTTCACAACTATGTTGGACCTGTAAGACAATCTGGGTCAAATGTGTTCTAAATATATAATATTGTCCAGGAATATATGGAGCTGTCCATAAAAGTACTAGGCACTTAATGTTTTGTGTTTAAAGCAATGCGTTCCTGTCGTAATAGTTCTTTATCAAATATTCCTGTGTGATAAAGTTGCAAATAAGTTTACACTAAATGTTCCCCGTGGTCACAAGGAATTAGATGTTCCTCGCTAATGTATATTGTCCACCATAATGAGCTCTGACTCTTACAGACTCGAACGCGTTACCGATCGCCTGCAAATATAAAATGAGTTTTATTTCCCAAGCATTTATTTTGGTTTGATCGTAATTGCTTATGGTATAAACTTTTAAAAAATGATGTTAGAGGGAATTTTTCCATGCCATCCAGTCTGTGTATGAGAACACATGGTAACGGTACTATTTTAAATTTACTACTTTACTCAGATGAAATTGCTCTTTTTGGACCTGATGAGAATAGCTTACAGCGAATGTTTGACTGTGTCACTGAGTGGTGTTCTTGATGGCGACTGTTAGCAAATATTAAGAAGACAAAAGTTGTACACCATCGTCCTTGTGGTGTACAAAGATCTGACTTTTTTCTACTGGTCCGAATATAATTGATTAAAAGCATTCTTATAAATATCTGTGGTCATTATGTAGATGTAATACTATTGAGGATGAAGTTCATTGTATTCCTTGTTGTCTCTTTTACTCTGATTTACGTTACGATTTCTGGAATTACGTTAAATCCAGAGAACCAGGTTTTCTTCCACTACCACCAGTCGAACAGGTAATATCTCTTGTGAATAATAATATGTCATGTGAACCACTCGCCGCACTCCTTTAAAGATGTACAGACGACGTCAGCTTCTCGTCTCTTATTAGATTTATTTGTACACTCGTATGTGTTATATTTATTGTGTGTGTAAATATGTGTGTGTATCGTATGTACACACACACACTCTCACTACTTTTAATCTGTACTTTATGATAAAAATAACTGATATTGATTTATATCATTCACATAAACGTAATATTGACATGCACATGTTGCTAGTCTCTGATCACATTACAACTAATCACATGTACCCCTATTGAAACGTTAGAAATGGATGACCTTAAGTGCAGTCATAAAGTTTTTGGTCCTCGAGGGCCACCTGGTGAAGCACATTGAAGAACGATTGACAGCAGCAGGGGTACTGAGTCCCTAGTGGTGCGGTTTGACTGTGCCAGTCTGTGTCGAGCACAGGGTTATGAGAATCCCCATTAATTTCCTTTAATAGCAAAGGTTGAGGTACAGTTATCCCAATTGTCAGTATCATAAACTACATGCATTTTTTCCATGATCCCAATATAATGAGTCAACGCCAGAGAAAAACCAGTCTCGTTTTGAGGCGAAATTGTGAATAGCCTATCCCATCACAAACACATGCAAAGGCAGGTCAGTAATCAACAGAATGGACACATGTACAAGTGGAAACACTGTCAGTTATGCGGTGTGTGGGAAACGGTATAAAAAGATATACCTAAAGATATTAGGACTGTCAGTCGATAACAAGGCAAGACCAGATAACGTATATCTATAACCGTCATCACTCACCTAATGAGATCAAGAAACATGTCAACTGCCGAAGGAGCATGGAACTCTTCAGACTGCGTGCCCGATGACGTTAGTGTGTCATGTAATCCTGGCTTGATAATGAACACCAGAGCAAAGCCAATACAGATTGCAATGACGGTTGTAGAAATATAGTAGGCCATAGTGAACAGACCCATCTTTCCCGATGACTTGCTGTTCATGTTAGCGATTCCTGATAAAACATAAAGTAACGTCAAATGGAATAATCAAATGGAGAACAGACCTTCTTTCCTGATAACGTGGCGTCCACGTTAACAATTCCTTATCAAACAAAAAGTAACTCTAAATGGTGTAATCAAATGGAGAACATGCCCTTCTTTCCTGATATCATGGCGTCCATGCTGACAATTCCTTATCAAACAAAAAGTAATCCTAAATGGTGTAATCAAATGGAGAACATGCCCTTCTTTCCTGATAACATGGCGTCCATGTTGACAATTCCTTATCAAACAAAAAGTAATTCTAAATGGTGTAATCAAATGGAGAACAAGTCATCTCTCCTGGTGACGTGTTGGCCATGGTAACAACTCCTATTTAAAAATAGATTAACTCTAAAGGGAAAAATCAATTGGAGATCATGCCCAACTTTCCCGTCGATATATTGTCCATGGTAACAATTCCTATTTACATGCCCATCTTTCCTGATGACTTGCTTTCCATGTTAACAGTTTCTGTTAGAACACAAAGAGAAGAATGATAAAACCTTTTAAACTGTAAATGTTTACAAAAGCAAAAATATCGGGGCTATGATAATATATATTGAGGTTAGAGTGAATGAATGCTGTGTAGTGGCGTAACAATACTAGCGAGTACTGAAGGTATATGCATTAATATTCCAATGTATAATACGTGCACTGACTTCATGAGGTTACATGCATAACTGACTGTCTGCTGTTTGATGAATGAATGAATCGTGACGAGACTTGAACATTTATGGAAATGTGAATCCATACAGTAGTCTTAATTTTTCATATATACTAATTATCTTCTGTTAAATGTATCCAAAACCAAATGTTATTATACATCAATGCTGTACTAGTGATGACACCAGGAGTTCGCTAATAGGACAAACATGGCCTGTCCTACCGCTAGCAATTAGAATAGAGAGGACGTATTAATAGCCCGAGACAGTACAGCAGTATTCGTAGACTAACGCTTAATCTCTGAAATATATGTATATTTTGACAGAAACAAACAATTCCATTTAAATTGAAAAGGCACCCTAGTGAGATGGGAGATCCTGAACCCGAGGAAATGTCGTCTTGCTTCATTTAGCGTTGAAGAGAGGGCTTGACTGAAGAGAAATACTGCTGTTCAGGGACGGTGAGACAGACTACAAACAAACCAGACAAAAACGTTCGGTTCAGACAGATTCCACTGTACCTGTGATCATGCTTGCAACAATCAGCGGAAGTATGAGCATGTTCAACATCCTCATGACTATATCCCCAGGGAGACTGATGAGTAGGATGGTGTCCCCGGAGAGATGCAGCTGACGAAACAGCAACCCGATGGTGACGCCCATCACTGCAGAGATGACGGTGAGGATGAGCAGGATGTTGGCCTTCAAACAGGTCTTTAACGCCATCTTGAAAAATAGAATAGCTATAATGATCATCGAGACGTCATGTCAGAATCGTTATGAGTGTTTCATATATGGCTGTAAGTGTATGTGTGTGTGTGTGTGTGTGTGTGTGAGAGAGAGAGAGAGAGAGAGAGAGAGAGAGAGAGAGAGAGAGAGAGAGAGAGAGACAGATAACGTATAGTAGTTTTTTTAAAAGAGCGTGTTTTCCATTGTCGTTTTCCAATTTAATAAACCAAATGAAAAATCATCCCCTGGTAACTGCCAAATAAGAAAGGAAACAACAACAATGATATGATTTCAAGTAGTTTTGTTCGGAGAAAGGACAGTTTTGACATCCATTTTTCCACTAAAAAGAGGGCCTGATAGTTTTATTTTCGAGAAATATGTTTTTAGGAATCTTGCAAGTCCAGCGAAAGTTTGTCTTTTATGAACGTGAGGCAAAATTGCAACCTCTGCGGATATGGTACAGTTTTCAGTTTTAGGCACTATCAGTATGCCCCAACAAGGAGCATCGATATGAACAGTCAAGTCAAGTAAAAAGAGTTTATTGTATTTAAGGCTTTCGGCCCACATACAAATATACATTTGTAAATAATATACAATAATGTACAGTACACATAATGGAGAGAACAAAATGACAGGCTATTGTAATATTTTTTGTTTTAGCGTTTAAATTGTTTAACAGTTCATTTCTAAGTCTCATGCTATGTTTGACAAATAGTGACAGATTAAGAATATCATTATCATTTTGAGAAGAGATTAAGGATGTAAAAGCTAGAGCAGGTGTTTTTGACAAAAACGGGTATGCAATATATTTGCTTCTGAGAGTGGAGTAGGATGGACAAACTAGCATAAAGTGGATTTCATTCTCAACTGCTGATTTACATAACGGACAAATTCTCCTGTTCTTATCTGTGGACATTTTCCTGCCTTCGTTTATCATTAAATCTAACAAACCAAGTCTATATTTGATAAAAATATTTCTTAAATATCTAGAATATAAAATAGACAAATATTTTTCAGGCTGAAGTAAACTTTTAAATGTCCTGTAACAACCATACCTTGAGCTGTCATGACTTTTTCGAAGGGTAGAATGCCAATCCCGATAGAACATATCAATAGCTTGGTATTTAAAATTATATAAAAAGAGATTGATACTTCCAATGGTTTGGTTCATCCAAATATAACCAAAACCACGAGAGAATAAATGTTTCTTACATGGAATTCCCATGGTTTTTTTTTACCAATGTTGTGTAAATGTAAAAGCATATCACAAGGCAGCATTGAAATTTATTTCCATTTGTCAGTAAATTTTATTCAATAGTTCAAGCATTAATCTAAGAATATATATATAATGGGTGTTTTCCACATTCGACATCAATCATACAGTTTGGTATAGATACTCCAACGGAAAAATATCCTGTACATGCTAAAAAGTGATTTTTTTCTAAACAAGCATATTTTTGGTAACCCCAAATATCAGATCCATATATAACATTATTCAATGAGTTTTAAAAAAATATTTTAGGTGATGTAATTCCAATTTTATATGAAACAGGAATAACGTTGAATAGGGCTTTCTTTGCTCTTGATACTAAATCTTCTAAGCTTTTAGAAAAGTTCATTGTATGGGTAAACAAAAGACCAAGCTATTTATAGTGACTATTAATCTTTAGATGTATCCCATTTAGTACCCACTTTTCATTTACGGATAACGACTCACCCCTTCTGAAAATGACTATATTTGTTTTGTCGTAACTAACCGATAACTTTCATTCTTTTGGATAACGTTCCAAATATTAAGTTGATTTTGTAATCCTACAATAATGTTTGAAAGTGACTAAAATGACATCATCAGCAAAATGTAGCATTGGTATTTCAATCATATCCGGGAACATCTGAATACCATGTTTTCCATTATTAGCAATATCATAACAAAATTCATTACTGAAAAATGAAAATAACATTGGACTTAAATTACATCCTTGTCTTTATCCGAAATGATATGTAAAAACATCACCACAACGCAAAAATGATTTTATTTAGAATATATACATAGACTTTAACACGGAATATATATTCCCTCGTACTCCGGTCTTTAGCAGACAACGATCAACAGAATCGAATGTTTTTTTAAAATCGACGAACGCTGCATACAAATTGTGTTTTCGGCGTGAAAGACATTTTTGAATTATTGCAAGCAATGTAGTTGCTGGGATTAAGTCCCGCATATTTTTTCCAATTCGTTATTTTATTGAAGAAATACACTTCGCTCTACCACCATGTATAGTGTAATAAAACACACTTTTGCCCTGAACTATTAAAGCACTCGGACGCAAGCGTCCTCGTGCTTTAACTATAATAGTTCAGGGCAAAAGTGTGTTTTATTACACTATACATGGTGGTAGGGCACTGTATTCTTTTCTAAGATGTCAAATTTAATACTTTCTAAGGATAATTACGATTAATTTAAGGCAGAAAACAAACGACGGTGTCTGTGACCTAAATTAAGAATCCTCGCACAGGGCAAACTGGCGCGCTGTTCTATTGATGTGTCTGCCCCCTACGTTTAGACGAACGGTACCAGAAAAATACAAATGATAACAGTTTGATGACGGTTTACGTTCGGATTAAATATCTTCTCTGAATTATTTTGAATACATCTGTTATTAACATAAACCATATGGGGCAATATGAACGTTGCATTTCTACTACCAACGTAAGTTTAGATCAGTACATCCAGAGGAAGTTGAGTAGTCAAGCGACATTCCACGATTGCATTATGGGAATGTAAACATTGCGAACGTTACCGTGTCGCTGAAAACTTGTGAGACGAACTGAGTCATTTTAACCGTCGTAAAACATAAACGTAATGTTTCCACCAGTGATGTTAGCTGCGTGAAGCAACAGCAAACCAAGAAACGGGACGCAACGGTGTAGTTTACTGTAGGAGGCCGTACGAGCCGATGACAACTGACATGCATCGTGACGTCGCTTTCATTGTGACGTAATGTAAAATGGTTCGATTACGAGGGGGCACACTAGAATGGTGCAGTGACGGGATAACGTCATTCAATTGTTACGTCATCAAAAAAAACTATACCTTTATTGTCTGATAATGTAATTTTTTTTCGATTGTTCTAACCGCTAGGCATCTTAGAATATTTAATACAGCTGTGAATATTTTGCCCAGAATACTCATAAGTGAAATGCCTCTATGTTATCGGGATCATCAAATATCCCCCTCTTATGTAGAGGAACAATAACTGAAGAAGACCAGCTTGTGGAAACAAATAGTCTATTGAAACAGTTTATCAGAAATGGCATGATTACGAATTCCGAACATTTTATCATTTCTGTGATGATATGAGGGGCAAAATAAACGACTGTAAATATTTAGTATATCTTCGGAAATTCAAAATAGTATGTCTTGTTGAGACATTGTTTTATCAACATGTCAAATATGAATTGGTTGGACGCTTTTCGTTAGTCCAACAGTACACAGCATCGTTACCATTTTTTTGTATCCCGTAAAAAACACCTGTTTGTATGTATGTACAGTCAGTGGGCAAAAGTGAGTTCGCAAAAATAGTTGCGCAGTGTCGGGTCACAACGTTTGACAATTTATTATGACTTCGCGTTTTGGCAAATCTGCAAGGATCGCAACGAAATTTCGCATGTTTTTTTCTTAATGGTGTGTAAATGATAGCGAGTATATTTTTGCAGTTATTTCCCTTTGCTTACCTTCGGAATATCGTCTGCTTGAAGATGCCGTCTCACGGCTGTCAACTTACCCCTGATCAGAAAGATGTTATCATAACTTTATCACTTCAAGGTAAATCTAGTTACAAAATCGCAGATTTACTTGAAATTAATCCAAGAACTGTACAAAAGTGTATCAAGCGTAATAATCAAGTCGGATCGAACGAAAACAGACCAAGAAGCGGAAGGCCGAGAAAATCGTCACCGAGGGGGTGAAGGAAATTATTTCGTCTCGTTAAAAGATGACATTACAACTAACTTTAATGCACAATCAACTCATACAATGTCTACTAGAACTGTTCGCAGACGATTGTTCACTGAGGGCTACAGGCGGGGGCAAGTATCGAAGAAAGTCACAATATCACCGGTCAACAGGGAACGCCGTTTACGATTTTGTTGCACTTGATTGCATTGGACCCGAAATGAGTGGCGAAAAATCATATTTAGTGATGAGACACAAGTAGTGATTGGCAGAGATAGAAAAGTGTTTATTTGACGCAAAAGAAATGAACGTATACTGCCCGAATGTTTAGGGGTCCGCACGGATCATGACAGCAGAAAGGTGATATCGGCTATGTTTTGGGGGTGCCTCACGTATCATGGAATGGGAACACTGACATATGTGGATGGAAATATGAACACCGACAAATATACTGAACATCATTGAAAACGCACCAGTCTAAAATTGTCCATATTTTCATCAAGATGGATTTCAGCATGACAATTATCAATGAATATAACTAATATGAAGTCGAAGGGCATGTCCAGTTGAAAAAATGCTTTAGAAACAAATTCCTCTCCACAGTATGATTCTTTTTTTCAAAATTTATCAACATGCTGCCACGCCATGAAAAAATCGCGAATTTCATTCTGAAATCATACTGACTGTGACATTAAAAGCAAGTGTATGAGAACCGATTCTCATTGCTTGACTAACGATTGTGAAACGAGGACAGAGATGCAAAGGTTGACACCACACGATAGAGAACGTGCACTAGGCATGATTCAGGTTGGCACCACCAGCAGGGATATTGCTCGACAACTTGGACTTGGCCACTCCACCATCGTTAGGCTTCATAGACCTTCAATGACCTTGGCAACAACATGTTACGACGCTATATCAGGATCGCCATATTGACCTTGTCCATATCAGAGATTGAACACTGCCGACTGCCAGGACTGCTGCACTAGTTCAAGGTTGACGTGTGGGTCATCAGCGCTGACTCCATGCGACGCCGTCT